TGGGGCACCGGTCGCTGTCATCAGGATGAGCCTTTGGTGGTTACTGAAAATTCTTTGCTCCCATGTGCTGTACTCCCACTCAGCACTCACACCTGGTGCCAGTGCTGACCCCACTAGCACTACTGCCATGCTGGAGCCACCACTCGCACCCACTGCGAGCATATGGAGCCAGCTCCAATTGCTTGGCACTGTCAGTGGTTGCCAGTGGTGGTTGCTGGTCCTAATTACCCCTCAGGGCTTCTCCACCTCACCCTGCTCCTGAGGGGTGATCAGGGCTGGCAGCCACCTCTCACACCCACTGCCAGCATCTGGAGCCAGCTCCAATTGCTTGACGTTGTCAGTGGGTGCCAGTGGCGGTTGCTGGTCCCAATTACCCCTCAGGGCTTCTCCACCTCACCCTGCTCCTGAGGGGTGATCAGGGCTGGCAGCCACCTCTTGCACCCACTGCCAGTGCCCACCCTGCTCACACCTGCTGCTGGCTCTGGCCCCAATCTCTCTGCGCCATCAGCGGGTGCGAGCAGAGCCGGCACCGTCTGTGCATGGGGGTGGCGGCAGTGGGAGCGGGGTTGCCAGCAGAGAGGTGACTGGTGGCCGTGGCAGGAGGGGCTGGGTAGGAGCAGCATGGAGGATGGGCCGAGACCTGCCCCTGTGCCCACTGCAGCCACACTGCCCACAGTTCCTTTCAAGGTGCACGAATTTGTGCACTGGGCCCCTAGTCTTGACATAAAATAGATAAAAGGTTTGAACAGATACTTTAGCAAAGAAGACAGGGATGCCAATAAACACAGGAAGAGATGTTCTTCTCTTTTGGTGAGTGCTCATATACAGTAGACTGGGAGCACTAGTAACTAAAAAGTAATGATAAAATAATCATACACTTACATGCTGCTTACAATTTGCCAAAATACTTTTAAGTACTGTGCATGCATTAAACTTCATGAGTTAATAAAGTAGGTCTTTAATAAACCATTTTAATTAAACTTTATGAGTTAATAAAGTAGGTCTTTAATAAACCATAGAAGAAGAAACTGAGATACAGAGAGGTGAGGCAATTTACCCAAGGTCACACAGCCAGTAAATGGCTGAGACAGATTTGAAAGCAAGCAATCAGGTTCCAGAGCCTGGGCTGTTGGCTATGACAGACTATATAACACCTCTCCAATTACCAGCAATATAGTGAGCACCTTCTCTGTGTAAAACATTTGGTCATACACTGTAGTTATAAAGGGGCTGATTAAATATAGTTTCTTTTTTAGAGGATCTTAAAATATAGATAGAAATAAAAGCCTTTGTACACCAAACATTGAACTGCATGTAATCATGATCCAATTTCACAACAGAAAAAAATAGACGGTAAATATACAGAACATTATCACCATCTTGTTCGAAAGACCGGGTCTGACTATAACAAGTAGGGACTATTGAAAGCATTCTAATACGTTTTTAGTTTAGAAGCTTTCCCCAGAAAAGCAAACACCATAAAGCTTTAATGAATTCAAATAAGGGGTAAGAGTTTAGACATTTGAAAAATGATTATAAATGATCTTTAATGCTACCATAATTTTCAGCAAAAAAAAAAAAAAAGTATTTCTTTCATGCTTGACAGGATCCTTGTGTTTTAGGTCGGTCCTAATAACTGAGTATAAACAAGGATGACCCATGTCCACACAGGACAATGACCTAATTTCAAATATCTCCGTATGTTAGAACCGCAGCTCGCATGTGAGCTGACACTATTCCTGTGAGCCAGCTATTTTTCAACAGCAAAGACCAGTCCTGAAAAGCCCTGAGTTACTGTTGGTTTGTTTTTTCCCTAAATTGGTAGCAACCCTCTTCCCAAAAGAAGAACTGGGGAAGAAGATGTTGATGAAAAGCAAGAAGATAAGCAACAGCCATCTTTCTTAATTAACTGACTGATCAGAAGAAAACAGTGTCTCTGAAGCTGTAGCTACAGAAATCATCAGCCTGTGAGACAGAATGTTTCTACTCCGTCTCCGATTCACTCCATTCTAGCCGCCCAGCCTGGATGGGAGCCAAGCAAGTGTGCCTCTCACAGCTGGCACGGCACAGGGGGCAGGGAGGAGAAAGACAGAAACAAAGAGTGAGGGTGGGAAAGGGAGAAACGGGAGAGGGAAAGGGAAAAACAAACAAACAGTGAAACAGACAGAGGGAGCCATACGGAGAGACAGACAGACAGAGAGACACACAGAGAACAGGAGCACTAGCGGGAGAGTGAAAGAGTGAAGGACCGGGAAGGAGGGGGGTAGGTTAAAGCCAGATTTTTATTGGAAGCAATTGAGTGGTTGCTATGAGACCCGCTCAGAGCACAGGACCAACAGCCAGCCCCGCGCTGATGGTTCTTACCTCGTCCTAAACCTCTCTTTTGACACAGTTTTAGAGTTGCTTAATCTCTGAGCAAGCACCTGACACGGGCGACTTTTTCCTTCTTTATTCTCCTCCAGTCCCTCCGGTAAGATGGAGGTAGAAAACGAAGCCAGCTGCTCCCCCAGCAGCGCGACAGCCTCAGGCGGGTCCAGAGAGTACAAGGTGGTAATGCTGGGAGCAGGGGGAGTTGGTAAAAGCGGTAAGTTTTAACACCAAAATGCTGGGGAAGGAGGAACCTCTGTAGAGGCAACTCTGCAGAGTAAAAAAATAATAATAACAGTAATAATGCTGATGCTGCAGCAGTGAGCCTCCAAGTCTCTGGCAGGATGTTTAACAGTGTGAGGACTGTTCAGAGATGCTGATGAGTCAGGAGGATTGGGAGGCAGCCACGGATGATATATAGAACTTTAAGAGGATTATTTTGTCCTTTGGTTTCCTGCTGGGTAATTTTTTTTCTTAATATATATATGTCTTTAAAAATATATATATATATCTATATATGATGTTTCTGAAATAATCATGGTATAAGAAAATTTGCTCCTGTTTTCAAAAAGATTCATATAAAGTGCTATGACTATTCAACGACACACACATATACAAACAGAGACACACATGCAGGATTATCAGTGCTGGTGGTTGTGTTTGTTTCTCTGATTAGGGGCTTCCTGTCCCCCTTACCTTGTCTCTGACCTGACGTAGCATGTGTGGGCTTTCAATGGCAAGGGGAAAGGTGGTTTTTGAAGTGACAGCTGTCTAAGGAACGGTGTTCACTGTGGGACCCACGCAGGGTTATCAACACAAATGTTGTGATGAACTAAATTAAAAGAGACAATTGCAAGGATAAAGAATATAAGTGGCCATGGAGGTAGAGTGGTAAATTGTTTATGATGAAAAAAACAAAACAAAACACATGTTGTCAGTGGTTGGGTTTCTTCAGGGGCTGAAAAGGCCATTATAACAAATTGAAGAAATATGTATGTAGTAGTGTTTGTAGTAATGTTGCTAATCTTGGGCTATGGATATCAATAAAACATAAATAGATAAACAAACTTTTTATATAAATATAAAATTTCACAGGGGATACCTTCTTTGGGATTGCCAAAAAGGAAAAGAAATGTGAGAGTCAGCATGGGCAAAACATTTTTTTTAAAAAAAACAATAGGTTTAAGGCTTGGCAAAAAGATTCAAAGTTGAGGCCAACATTATTGGTATAGACACCCACACCCAAAAAATGTTGATAAGTAATGGGTCCATTGTGAAAAGAAAGTTGATCAGTAAAGGAGGGAAAAAGAGAGTGTGACTTTAGAGGACAGCAAGTAAAGAGGCTAGAAAAATAGCAAGAGACATAAAGTTGAAACCCCTCCCCCAAAGGAATTAGTATAAGAAGAAAAGAAAAAGGTGAATCTGGGTATGTCCAATTGCTGCGTGCAGGTCAACGTGAGAAAAGTTAGTCATCTGTCCTAAGAAAGAAAAGGTAACGTGAAAAGCTTCACAAATATGTATAAATGAGGATCTTACAGAAATGCCACCAGCTCCTTGTGAGGTCAGAGAGATGCTATAAGGGTCCCATAATGTGCCCATGTATTATCTTTGTTAGCTGGCTTGGTATTTTCTTGTTTCATCAGGAGGTTGGAGGATGTGGGAATAGAGTAACTAGGTTTGAGTCACTTACTCCATAAAAATGAAATGTGGAGAGAAGAGATGGTGGATAGAAGCATCCTTCAGCAATGTACTTATCCCGGAGATGGTATGCATTCTCCTATTTTGACTTCCTCCATGTATTATTTGACCTGACCAGCCATTGTCACCTCTCCAATAACTAGAAATTTTTGACATACCAAAATGGTTAACAGAGTGACCTGGTTTGCTCTCACTTCCATGTTGTACAAAAGAGGCCAGGTTTGAAATACGTGAGCAAAACTTTTCCAGTGTGATAGGAGCAGCCAATTCACTTCAGAGATGGTCAAGAGTAAAAGAGGGTGAATAAGTCCAGTTGTACTAACTTTATACATAGCCCATTGGCTGTGACTTTCAGGGAGTGTATAACTCATACTACAATTCCAGGCTTAGGAAATGCTATCCTTAGACTCAGTGTTTGGAATCAGAGTGATGGAATCATGTCTGACCCTTGGGCTCTGTCCCTGTAATTCAGCCCATGTTTCTAGTATATAAATGTTCAAGCCCTGATTTTCTAAATTAATCTTCTTTTGAAGGTTAAAATGTTTGCTTTCAAATGAACTACAATATTTTTGAATTAAAAAGCCACTTTTTGAGTTGATGAAGATCTGGATCAATAGTAAGAAGTAGAATTTACTTACATTCCCACAGTTTCAGTAGCTTACATGATAGGATCTTGCAAGTCGGTTACAGTGGTTTGTATGAAGGGATTTCAAGGGGAAATCTGTTCTGTAGAAACTAAAGAAGATATATCAAGCTATCAACTGTTTGCAATTCTGAGTCTGTTCTGAGTTAGCCTAAAACATAAATGAAAAACTCAATTTGCTGGGACCTTAACTTTTAAGTGAACACAATCTTGAAAATTTCCTATGCTTACTGAAAAATTAGGGTATGTTTTATTTTCTATCCATATTTTACTGAGACATACTTTGGTGAGTATGAAATTTTGGAAGGATTTGCAACTTTGGAGCAGAAATACCCCCCAAGATTTAAAATTTATTTACTATATATGAGAAATTTCAAGCCACAAGTAATCAATAAACAAGTTATTTAGTATGTACTATGCAAGGAGCCTGTACTAGTTACTATAGAAGGGAAACAAGAATGATATGAACATCTATAAAACATCCCCTATGGGCTGCCTGGTTTTCTTGCTTATATTCAGTCCTGTCCACAATGTGATTAGGTGTCACCATTTTACAGATGGAAAAACTGAGGCCCAAGAAAACAACTTGTGTCTAGTCATGGAGGTAATAATTTTTTTAGATTTCGGTGAAGTTTGATCTAACTCATTTACATTGTGTTTAACAGAGCAAAGAGTTCCACCACTTACCATTGAGAAGTCAGGGCTGTTGGGATTGTGTTCTTTACTTCCTGAACATGAAGGAGAAACTCAATTTTATATTTAGAAGAGAGCTAAACCATCTAGACTAACACTCTCAACTTATAAATATATACCTTTTTAATCTTTAAATTAATATAATTAAACATTATACCTAGTGCTTATATTCTATATAAAAACATATGTATGTTGTATTTATATCTATATAATGGAACATTACACTCAATATTATCCAAGAATGCTGTAAGTGCTGAGAAAACAGCATAAACAAGAAATACCCTTGACCGTATTTGAAGATGGAGAAACTCAGGTCATGAGAGTTGAAGGTCTTGCCAGAGTCACATCTAGAACTCCACCCTCATGACCCCCTTGAAGCTTTGTTCTACCACACACCAATTTTTACACAGGATAAGTACTAATTATCCACTGAATTTCATGTAACTTGGGCATATTCTTAGCCTCCTATCACTTTTTATTCCACAGCTTACCATCCCTTCCTTCCCTCAAAAAAAAAAAAGAGAAAAAAATTAAAATCTCACAGTTGTAGTTTAAGAGTTTACTGGAATCTAAACAATCCTTAGAGCTGTTTTCTGTCTTTGCGGTTTAATTATAATTGTTGTTCCTCAATAATAGAGCACAATTAGTGTCTGCTTGCTTCCTCTGTATTCACATCTGGTTCTCCCAGTGCAGAATCAAATTACACAGACTATCTAATTCAGTAAATGCTACTGAGTTTATTTTCTAAAATATACTTTACCTATTCTGTTTTATGATTATGTTTGAGGGTAAAATATTTTAAGGGGGCAAGTAGGTTATCTATTCTCTATGTTCAGATGGAGGTAACTGAGGCACAGAACTGTTAAGAGATTTGTCCAAGAGTACACAGAAATAAAAAAGTTTTCTAATTCTAAATTATTTTTTCATCAAATTTCATGAGAAACGTATCCAAACATCCAATGAGATCTACATGTTCTATACCAGTCCTTAGGATATATCTTAGAAATACCTTGGTGAAATTTTGTTTAAAATTTTGTCAAGTGTTAAATTGGTATGAAATATTCAAGTCATTGGGAAGGGAGAGGGTGTTATTCCCAACTATAATTCCAGACATGGCCCCTTCCCTCTAGGAGGGCACTACCTCAAGAGGAAAAATATAATGTCCACTATAAAATGATAAGCTTATGTCAGGCCTTTGACATACAAGCTGTGAAAACTCAGGGTAAAAGGTGGCTAAATCAGCATGGGGGAGTTACAAAGGAATCCTAGAAGAGATAATATTTAAATTGTATATTAAAGGATGAGTAGGATTTCTTGAGATTGAGAAGGGAAAGTATAGGGAGATCTGGGGTTGGAGAGGAAGAGAATTTATTGGGAACAGAGCATGCAAAGGCAAAAGGGAATGTGGGGGCTATAATTTTTATACCTCCACACTTGATAACTTAGTGTCTTTAGGGATAATTGGAACAATATCTCTTCCAACTTAAAAATCTTAGAAATTTCTTTAAGATTTGCTTAAAACCTATATTTGGAAACTGTGAAAAGTGAAACAAAATAAATAAGCTAAAAACATAAAAAAGTATTAGGGAACTCAGAATTGATTAGAATGCAACCATTGTACATTTTTGGTAAAGGGAACTCACTTGTAAAATAAGTAATCATACTCTGCCCCACATCCTTCAGCAGTTTGTCTCTTTTACACACTTGGAGCTTTATGTAGCAGGAATTTATAAAATGAAAGCAATAACAATATTTTCTGAGGTAAACAGAAGGCAGCGCAAACCAATTCCTTCAACTGCAGTGAACTGATATAAAAAGGTAGAAAATCGAAACTTTATGTGATGAATTAAATCAAGGCAAACAACCAAGTGCATCACTCAGGTCCCTGAGGCTCTGTGTTCTACCATATTAGCAGAACTCTGGATCAGACAATCTGGAACAATTTTCACATCATGATGGTGTGTTATTTGAACCCTCTGAATTGCAAAAGCAAAATAAAAATAAACAAGGGGAAAAGAAATGATTTTAAGACTTGGGGGTGGGGGGGCTTCCGCTCTCACTCTTAATCATCACCACCCTAATTGCCCTGAAGATCATCACTCATT